TCGCATCCTCAACCTACCACCACGCTCCCCATATGCCCTCGACACCCCGAACAACTGCATGCCCTTCCCCTCTGTGGATTTACGCAGCCGGAAAAATAGAGAAACCCAATTTCATATGCGACGACAAGTAGACTTCGAGAATGGTAATGTACAGAGACTTCGAGAATATTTATGGTAGGATTGTGGGACTCCTTAGGTAGAATTAAATTTCAGAGAATAGATTTAAGCTAGCATCAAGAGGTCAGAGTAGCTTCGGCCTAGATCAGCTAAGTAAGTGGTTTTACTATCGATATGGTTGGAGGAGTTGTGTTATTCATGATGACACGTGCCTAATGGCGTAGCATAATCATGTGTGTGATATGTGTATTCTGTAAATGATATAATATTGTTTGTTATATGATATATCCACATATGCTCAGTAACATTAAAATACAAATGGATGTCATACATGCCTTGACGAATTAAAGATAAATTATGAAGTGTCATGATATGCTATGACATGTATGACATATGAGGAATTATTTTGAGATAAGAAGATTTGTGATGTACAACCGAGGGACGTGTTTTGAATGTATTGCTATTAAATGAAATGAAATTGAGCAAAGGGTTGTCTTATATGATTTATTTACTCTGAGAAATGTTAGATTTCTTGCATAAATGTATTTTCTCATGCATCAGAATATTCCCCCTTATGTTGAGTAGGAATGCGTACGTTATGAAAAGGAAAAGGATCGTCGTGTTTAACATGATGCTACGACGATCGCTATTCCTTTCGAGTGTCCGATAACAGCACTAGAGACGCTAGTCTGCAGCACAAGGCCCATAGAGTGTGCAAATCGACTAGTAGGTCTATATATTCGCACATACCGTTTGTGTGTAAAGTAATAAATACACATCCGATGACTCGAATTGGAAAGCTGCATAAGAGAATACGGTTTTAAATGATAGGTCTCATTCATATTGCGTGCGCATGTGCATTTCCTAACCCCAAGAGTAAAGTCACTTAGTGAGTATTTCTTAAAATACTCAAGTCTTATGCTACTCTTTTATTTTAGGTCAAGACAAGACACCTATGCATGGCTGACGGTGAAATCGCATCAAAAACTTGTGCATATACATTTCATATTACGTTTGATTAAAATGATAGGTCTTCTTCTAGTGATAAAAGAGAACGTTTTCATGAAAGAATTGACAACTAAAGAGGTCTAGGACGCTCTACCCAATTAAGGGCAATTTTGAGTGAAGGTTCACCCAAAACCCGTTGCCTTTGACATATAAATTGAAGCACCACATACAACTCCTCACTTGAAGCCTATTCCATCATCTTGCAGGGAAGGAAATGGGGATTTTTGTTGAAGGATTTGAGGTATAATAATCTCAAAGAAGTGCCTCAATCTCAAAGAAGGGCCAAAGAAGTTGGTTTCTAGAGTCTTCTTTGACGATTATCTACGTCCACAATGCACCTATGCAAACGAAATTAATCTCTAGACCTTCCTTGCAACGTTCTTTACAAGTTTGTAGAAAGAATCAAAGAGAAATAACCATTGTACAAGGCTATAAAAGGTGAGTTGCAGAGCAAGAAAGCCACGGGGTTTAGCATCTTTCCTTAGTCGAAAGGTTGAAGATAATGAAATGATCGATTCAATTGAACTGGTCACGTCAGCCAAACCAACCTACATGCATTCTTTTAGATTTTAACCTTCTAGTAAACTAGTTTTGTGACACTTGAGTAAAGAGGGTACATGAATAAACCAAAATCGTGGTTAAGTAAGGGTGATATTAAAGATACGATGATTAAGAAATATTGAAATTGAAGTTACGGCCTATACAAACAAGTATATCTTCCTTTTCAGTGGCTCAATCATAGGAATTCTATGGTTATGCTCACTTTAATTTGAGCAATTTTATGTTGGATGACCTCCTAAAAATATCTATCCGAAACGTATGTAAATGAAGACAAACTATACTTGAAGGACTCAAGTTGGTACATACATTAATTGTTCTAATATTTAATGTATCAAATAGAATAAGTATATTTTTCCCTTTTTAATATATCTAGTATATTAAATATATATTTAAACCCTTCAAATTAAATATTATTTTCAACCTTTTAAATTAAACTTGTACATATTTAAACCCTTTCAATTAAATTTATTTATTTTATTTATTTAATATATTAATATATTAAATATTAATTTGAATGTTTTAAATTAAACTTATTTTATCCTTTACACTTAATATATTAAATATTAATGAGATAATTTTTATAAAAAAAAATAGTATTACTATGAGCTACTAGACGATTATAACCTCCATTATAGAAATTTAATTAATTAAACTTTTTAATTAATCAATTTTCATTCCTTAACTATAGTTTTAGAGTTGCACTCTTATGTACTATAAAACAAGTTATGTTCATTGGTATAATCATTACAAACAAGTCAATTATTCACGAGTTGTTCAATTAATTGCAGTTTGATCAAAAGTCGTTTTTATCCCTATAATTACATCATTCACCTCAAGTACCAATGATTCTCTAATGAACAATTTGTTTATGATTCAATTATAAATCAAATCCCTCTCGAGCTAATGAGAGGGTATGACCCCATTGTTCAAAGAGAACAAATCATCTACTTTCTTTATATGGAAGAACTCATGATATTATTTAGTCAAGTCCCAGAAATGGAAGATATATTGAATAAGCTACAAGAGTCATTCTCACTCATTCAAATCGAAGGACAAGCCCTCCTCGGAAAAAGTTCAAAACTCGCTCAGGATTAAAATTGAGTCACATATAATCATCATATGAAATATAAATTTGTTCCTCTTTCGGCGCACAACAAGTGGTATCAGAGCCTTATTGTGGTATTTTGGGGTATTGTGAAAGCTTGGGCCTCATCGACCATTAGACGTGCTCACAATCGTGTTTATTCTCTTGAAATTCAATTTTCAAGAATTGTGTTTTTTGAGTTTCATCCAGATTAATTATTGCAAATGGCAGAACCATCACGACGTGGATCGAGAGTGTGGAGTTCTAATCTCGAAGTAGAGAAATTTGATGGAACCAATAATTTTGGTGTTTGGCGAGGCGAAGTTAGCGATTTACTGGTCATGCAAGACCTCGATGTTTCTCTCCAAGAGGAAATGCCTGAAGACATGACAGAAGCAGAATGGACGAAATTAAATCGACAATCCTGTGGAATTATTCGATCCTGTCTTGGCAAGGATCAGGAATATCCATTTATGAAGGTTACCATGGCGAAAGAATTATGGGACAAGCTTGAAGCGAAATATATGAAGAAGAGTGTGGAAAATAAACTCTATTTGAAGAAGAAACTCTTCCATTTTGACTATAAGGAAGGCATCTCAATGGCTGAGCATTTGGATGATTTTAACAAAATCATCACTGATTTGCTCAATCTTGATGTTAAGATTGATGACGAGGACAAGGCGTTGTTGTTATTAAACTCTTTGCCGGAAACCTATGAGTTTTTAGTAACGACCCTACTACATGGAATCACTAATATTGATTTTGAAGATGTTTCAAATGCCTTAATAAACAATGAGATGCGAAAAAATGAAAAGGAGACGTATCAAAGCTCTAGCTCAAATGTTCTCACTCCTCATGGAAGGACTTTTAATTGGAAAAAGAACGAATGTGGAGAGTCTCGATTAAAGTCGAGAGGTAGATCTGATAATTGGAGAAAACTTGATAAAAATGAGTGTGCATATTGTCGACAGAAAGGCTATTGGAAAAAAGATTGTTCGATCTTAAAAGAGAAGGGGTCGAAGTCCAATGTGGTTAGAGATGACGACACTCATACAGATGATGCCTTGACAATCTCCCTATCAGTCAGCCAAACCAGTGAATGGATTCTTGATTCTGGGTGCTCCTATCATATGTGTCCCAACAAAGAGATGTTTTTGGACTTCAAAAAGTTCAATGGTGGAGTTGTCTATATGGGCAATGATAGTACTTGCAAGATAATGAGAATCGGCTCAGTACAAATCAGGATGTTTGATGGGGTTATACGAAAACTCAAAGAGGTGAGGTATGTCCCTGACTTGAAGAAAAATTTGATTTCACTTGGCGTTTTGGATGCGAGTGGTTATCGCATCATTTTGGAAGGAGGGAATTTGAAAGTAGCTCGTGGAGCTTTGGTGGCAATTACAGGAACTCGAAGAGGTAGCATATACTACCTCAACGGAACCACAATAATTGGGCATGCTGCTGTGGCAAGTTCGAAAGAACAAGACATATCGAAATTATGGCACATGCGACTCGGGCATGCTGGTGAGAAGGCGCTTCAGACACTGGTGAACCAAGGAGTCCTTAAGGGTGCCACAACTGGAAGAATTGATTTCTGTGAACATTGTATATTTGGTAAACAAAAAAATGTGAAGTTTGGTACAGCTATACACCAAACAAAAGGCATTTTGGATTATGTTCACACTCATGTATGGGGTCCCACAAAGAATGTCTCATTGGGAGGAAAGAGGTGGTTCGTCACCTTTATTGATGACTACTCGAAGAGAGTTTGGATGTATCCCATGAGGCACAAAAACGAGGTTCTCCAAATCTTCCTAGAGTGGAAGAAAATGGTAGAGAATCAGACGGACAGGAAAATCAAAAGGCTAAGATCAGACAGCGGGGGAGAATATACTTATGATCCATTCCTTAAAGTATGCCGAGATGAAGGGATCGTTCGACACTTCACTGTTCCTGGTAAGCCACAACAAAATGAAGTTGCTGAGAGAATGAACCAGACATTAACAGAGAAGGTTCGATGCATATTGTCTCAAGCAGGATTGAGTAAAGCATTTTGGGCTGAGGCTCTCAGGTATGCAGTTCACTTGGTGAATCGTTTACCTGTTTCTGGAAACGGTGGGAGAACTCCGCTTGAGGTATGGTCAGGTAGTCCTGTTAGTGATTATGATAAATTGCATGTGTTTGGGTGTCCTACTTATTATCGTGTGACAGACTCAAAGCTGAATCCTAGAGCAAAAAAAGCCAAGTTTATGGGCTTTAGCAAAGGTGTGAAGGGCTATAGGTTATGGTGTCCAGAAACAAGTAAGATTGTTAATAGTCGAGATGTGACATTCGATGAGTCTGGAATGTTTTTGCAGAAAATTGAAAATAATGACGAGGCATTGAAGCAGGTGGAGAAGGTGGTATTCTCTCCTGATGTGGTTGCTCCTACTGAAGAACCTATTGATCAGGTAAATAATAACTTTGATGTCTTAGAACAGAAAGAGCAAAGTCTTGAGGAGCAAAGCCTTGTAAATGAAAGAGTGGAGGAACCTGAGTCAATCGCCAAGAATAGACCACGAAGGGTAATTCGAAAACCTGCAAGGTTTGATGATACGATAGCATATGCTTTCTCTTTGATTGATGGAGTTCCTAACTGTTACAAAGATGCTATTCAGAGCCCGGATAGCTTACACTGGCAAGAGGCTGTGAATCAGGAGATAGCATCATTGGAGATAAATCAAACTTGGGATTTGGTACAGCTTCCAAAAGGTAAGAAGGAAATTGGTTGTAAATAGATTTTTGCAAAAAAAGGAAGACCCTTTTGGTATACGTTATAAAGCTCGACTTGTGGCTAAAGGCTACGCACAAAAAGAAGGTATTGATTACAATGAAATTTTCTCACCTGTGGTAAAACATTCTTCGATTCGAATATTGTTGGCTTTGGTTGCTCAATTTAATCTTGAGCTTGCACAACTCGATGTAAAAACTGTATTTTTGCATGGAGATTTGGAAGAAGAAATATATATGGCGCAACCAGTTGGTTTTCAAGTAGTTGGACAGCAACATTTAGTATGCAGATTGAAGAATCTTTGTATGGGCTGAAGCAATCCCCTCGCCAATGGTATAAAAGGTTTGATCATTTCATGGTAGAGCATATGTATACTCATAGTCAATTTGACCATTGTGTGTATTATCGATGTCTCGATGATGGATCGTTTATTTACTTGCTCTTATATGTTGATGATATGTTAATTGCTTCAAAGAGACTGGTGCAGATTGATAAACTCAACGATGAGCTTTCAAAAACATTTGAAATGAAAGACTTAGGCAATGCAAAGAAAATACTTGGAATGAAGATAGAGCGAGATCGGAAAAAAGGTACAGTCTGGTTGACTCAGTCTCAATATCTACGCAAGGTATTGTCAAGATTTAGTTTGAATGATTCAACCAAACCCATTAGTACTCCACTTGCACAACCAAACCCGTTGTGCAAGTGGGTCGATGAGGCCCAAGCTTTCACAATACCCCAAAATATCACAATAAGGCTCTGATACCACTTGTTGTGCGTTGAAAGCGGAACAAATGTACTCACAACACCAAAATCACTCAAGACATACAATATTGCACTCAAAAACTTGATTTTTCAACAGCAGAAAGAATGGCCTTATATAGCAAATATTAGGAAGACCTTCATAAACTAACAAGCCTAAAAATATTAGACCTTTAGCAAGACCTTGAGAATAGATCTTGGTCGTAGAGAATAGGGCTTATGACAGTGTTTAACAAAATCTTCTCAATTAACGGAGTTATAAATAGAGATTAAATATTTGTTAGACCAATCTTATACAAAATCATTATATATGATACCCCTTGTAATAACCCAAAATTAAAATATATATATATATATATATATATATATATTGAAAGTTGTCGTGGTTATGTTGAGAAAGAAGGGAGTTGGCTCTAGTGTAAAAGGGAGGTCCTTTGGTCTTCCTTTCATCCCAATTGAGCTGTTCAAAGCCAATCGGAGAATTAATTTTCTGATGGCTTCAGGATGGCATTTTAGCTAATCTGGCTTAGGTTTGATACACTTAGAAGCATTTAAGGTTTGTATGGCTACCTTTTAGCTAGTTTAAATTATTTGGTATAATTCCCTTTTAGGAAGTTTAAATTCTTGGATAGATATGACAACCTTATAGGGGTGAATAGGGTTTTAATCAATGTAATTATTAAATTTTTTTAAAAACAATAAAACTTATAACATACCATAAAACTTAAAATTTAGAATTTAAATAGGAAAAGGGAAAAGGGTTAGAAAATATAACACCCTAGTTTTATAGTGGTTCGGTCAAACTCGACCTACTCCACTCCCAAGCGCCTCTTAGGAATTTGAATAAAACTTTCTGACTCTTTCCTCGGATTAGAGCCCAACAGCTACACCGCTCTTTTTACGAGTGCAAGAGCAAACTCAATCCTTTCCACGACTCAGAATCAAACCGGTACACCGCTCTTTTTACGAGTTCAAGAGCAAACTCAATTCTTTCCACGGCTCAGGATCAAACTAGTACAATTGACTGAAATATTATAGAAACACACCACAACACTCTCAAGTAATAGACATCTCTCTAAAGAAATAAAAAAAAAAATAGAATTGGAAGCTTGGTAGAGAAACAATGGAGGATTTAAAAAAAAAAATTAAAATTAGATCGAGGAAAGAAATGTTATGTTTTGTGTTCTGAAAAATATGGAGAGGTGATGAGTTTAAAGAGTGATCAAGTCCTAAAAATAGGAATTGATACGGACCACTAAAATAAAACGTGAAGGAAAACGTGACCACGAAAAATAATATTTATTTATTTTTAAATTTATCCTAAAAAATTATAGACCACATGTTTCATTTAAATTTAAATATATATATATATATTATTTTAAATAAATATTAAAAAAAAAATTAAATTTATTTTTATTATATATATATATATATATAACCTATTGAAATATAATAATATAATAAAAAAATGTTAATAAAAACAACATGTAACTTCTAAAAGTAATTGAAAAGTTTTATAAATCTAATTGAAATCATCTTTTTCCAAACTAGTTTTCATAAATGAAATCATTCTAATTCTTTTCCATTTAAATGTAACCAAATTTTTTTATAAAGGTTATACTTCGATTGGTCTATGATGTCAATTTTGCCGTTGGTCCCTGATGTCAATTTTGTCACCATATCATTAATTTTGTCACCATAGCGTATCTTGTTTTGAATTTGATTGGTCCATGATGTCAATTTTGCCACTACATCATCACGTCAGGTATTTGTTTTGACTAAAACTTCTTCGTTTTATCTCTAATTTGAGTGAACTAAAAAAAACGTTGAAATCGTTATTCCCAACCTTACTGTGGACAAAATACTGAGAATTGTTAATAATTGAAGGTAGGTTTGTTATCCTCAAAACATCAATTAATTAATTAATTTGAGATTAACGCGAAAAAGCCAACATAAATTATTTGGTATAATTTCCTTTTTAGCTACTTTAAATCAAGTAAACGTATGTCTACCTTTTAGCTAGTTTAAATTATTGGGTATAATCTTTGGAATTATCTAAATGAACAAAAAAAAAAATTAAACAAAAAATAGTCTTTTAGTTGGTTTAAATTATTTTATGCAAATTAGGTTTACTTAATTTAAATTATTTACTTAGTTTAGTAGAATTCTAATTTATTAGTAGGGGATTCCTCACGTAGAATTAAATTTCAGAGAATAGTAACTAAGTAAGTGGCTCTATTATCGGCTTAGTTTGAAGAATTGTTTTATGTATGATAACACATGTCTCATGGTCTTGCAAGTGTCATGAGTGTGATATGTCTTATGATGTGATTTGATGTTATGAATTTCGTTATATGGTATAATAAATTATATGATGGTATAAATGAAATGTTATGTTATGTCACGATAAACTTAATGTATGACATGCATTAATTAACATAGTAAATATCTTAGGTTAATTAATGAAAAAACCTTTCAGCGTATTTGTATGAACAGAGATGTCACAATTTCTTACCGTTATATCTTAAAAAAAAAACCTTCCAGCATATTTGTATGACAGAGATGTCACAATTTCTTACCGTTATATCTTAGATCCTCCGTTTTTATTTTAATTTCGTTTAGAAAATCACGTAAGAATCCGTAACAATTTTTAAAAGAAAAAAAGAATTAAGAATCAATTAAAATTGGACAAAGAGTACCTATGAACATAATTAACATAGTAAATAGAGATAGAGAAAAAAAGTGGAGAGGAATTTGATTTTTAAGAAGTCAATGAAGTGAATATTTAAAATAGGTGAAGCCTCTAACCTATTTGAGAGCAAATTCAAAGGATGAAAGCAAGCAAATTTGGAGTTAGATAGAACTTTAGCTAAGATCAACCATTTATGTCCTAAATTTTTAAAAATAACTTTGTCACAATGTTAGTATCAAAGCCATAAATTTCTTGAATCTCAAAAGTAGTATGTTAATTAGTGGTAAAATCATTAATTTGTTAGGTGTTTAATTTGCATCCTAGTTTATGTCAAACTAGCTAATGGTTGCAGGTTGTTAAGGAGACAGACTTGAAATCAATATTCAATAAAGTCTCTGATGCTCACATAAAGTTTAATACATGAACCATTATAAAATTTAGATGATTGAAATTGAAATTGACGTCATGGTTTATATAGGTTGGTTTGAATACAAAGCACAAAATTGAACTTTCATTAAGGATAAATGGGTAACACTAGTATAAGCTAACTATAGGATAGACTAAAAATTGTATGAATTATGATGATGTATGAACTGTATCGTACGATGTCATATGATAATATGTGATGATGTATGAGTTATGATGATATATGAGTTATGACGATGTATGAGCTGTACTGTATGATATCGTATACTAGTGTATGATGATGTATGAGTTATGATGATATGTGAGTTATGATGCTTGATGATGTGCGTAGTATATATATTTTGATGAATGACACACTTGATATGCTTGATGCATTTTATGGCAATATGATGAGTATGATGATTACGTGACGTTTACCTTAATATTATGATGTTTTCCATATTGAGCATGTTATATGATGATGAGTGTCATATTGCATCATGTCGTTAGATCGACATAGGACATAACCCTAAGAGCATGAAAATGATATTAATATAAATATCCAAGAGTATGTGTTACCTAGAGTAACAAAGAGATGAGACTAGAGGGTTGTGTCAGAAGAGACATTATGATAGATTTAGAGGGACATCATGCATATTGTATGTTCATAAGCATAGGACTACTTATGTCTTAGAAATACTTATGTCTTATGCCACATCATTTTTCAGGTAAAGGCAAGGCGCACTTGTACGGAGGGAGGCGGCATCGCGAGTAGAGACAATGGCACGTGCATAGGGTAGACTCATATTTAAATTCCTAGTCTTAAGTTAGAATAGTTTGTTTTGCATTTCATTGTTTTAAATTATTTTGTATTTGTTTTTATTTTCTCTAAATGTCAGTATTTCATATTTAAACATGTAAGATCATAGCTGTGTTTTACCGAGAAAAAGTTGTTTATGCATTTTTCGAAGATTAAGTTATAAATGATGTTCATGTAATAGTTATATTTTCTCATTAGAGATGAGCATGAAACATTAGTAGCGACTCTGAGTATGTGGAACTTTAGGGTCGTTACATATGACGACACATGTCCAGTGGCCCTTCCACGTGTCCTCTTGCTTTATATTATATGATGATGTGACTATATTATATGATGATGAGACTATATTATATGATGATGAGACTATGATATAATATGACGTGACTATGTTATATGATGTTACTATATGATGTGATATGATGTTATACGACGATGTTATATGGTGAGGCTATGGTGATGATATGATGATGATGACATGATGATGATGATGATGTATGATAACATTACAATGTAAGATGTATGATGATGAGATGACTTAATATGACTTTATTCCATATTAAGATAATGCATACATATTACTTAGAGTAATATGTGAACAGTGTATAGGGTGTCTCAAAGATGATTTAAAAATAAAAACTATAGGGACCTCATGCATTGTACATATACATCGGGTTACTTCTCCATTTATGATGATGAGTATGGATGCATACACAATGATGATAATGATGATGATCATGCCTCACATGATAATCAGGGGTTTGCTGACCTCTAAACGTCGCTACGGACAACCAACTTGACTATGATGGGTCTAGAGGGGTGCAAACTACCTGGGGATCCACATTCGCTTGTATGGGTTGTGTGTAGGAAAGTACTACACATCCAATTTTGTTAGAACTAGAGGCTACCCTACGATGGTTTTAATGATAGGTTCAATATCATGAGTTCCATGTGTTTGTATTTCCTGACTCTAATAGTGGGGTCACTTATGAGTATGTCTTAAAATACTTTGTGTGATACTTCTATTTCAGGTAAAGACAAGACACTTATGTACGACTGACTACAACATCACAAGTAAAGACCATGACACGTGCATAAGATAGTGGTATTTAATTTTCTTAGACTTAAGTTAGTATTGGGTGTTTTTACTTTTAATGTTTTTATTTTTTTTTATTCGGTATTTCTGTATGTTGTTTTAAAGATGCTGTTGAACATGTAAGTGACAATGTTTTATGATGAAGTTTTAAATGTTTAATTTCGCTTAAGAGCATAGGTTATGATGACAGCAGCAAGTTTAGATTAGTAGAAATCTAGGGTCGTTACAC